TCCTTGGTAGCATTTTAATGTTCCTGTAATTTGCAAGGCTCCGGCAAGCCTGAGGAGATCATTTTTTTTTCAACACGAAGAAATTCTGCCTTGAACTCAGCTGCATCCCGCATGTTTTTTAGCGTGAACGGATCGTAACTGTCCCTAGGAAAATCGGGATTTTTGGACTCATAATTTTCCCACAAAACGAGAAACTCTTCATCCGATACATGTTGTCTGCATAGCAAATATTTATTCTCTTAATTCTTTATGTGAAGCCATATTTTCCTCTTCGGTATTCTTCTAATTAAAGGCGCCGTCCTTCTGAGTTTACTGCGATCTTAATGTTCTATTTTTGACGGGAATCGACGGCTGCCTTAGTTCCAGGCTTTCTCTGCCAGTCCGGTCGCCGTCGCCCCGAAAACGTCTCCATCTTAAGTTCCCTATTAGTTCGTTAGCGACGGGAACGCTTGACCTGGTTTGACTGTAAATGGCCCTTGATCACAGTAGATTAGGCGTGGAAAACAAATTCTCGGAAAACAAATCAGGCCCAATTTTTTGGGTTCGACAACTTTACAATTTATTTTACAAAATCTTGCTAACAAGTCTGGGGACGTGTAAGCCAACCTTTTATATTTTTTATACATCATATGAGGTGAAACAGTACCATGAGGCACTGTTTTTATCATACAGACCTCGGACAGATTACAATTTTGCAATACACTGTACTCAACATTCAGGTCGATCGAAGCACGCGTGGGCTTTTACCGAAACCGTTAAAAAAATTTCTTAAATCATTTATACGGCTTGCCGATTCTCACTTTTGACAAGTGCCAAAGTCGACTGTTTAAATCAAGATTAATAGAGTTATACGCTTTAACATGATAAAAAATTTATTATGTTTATTTCTTTATATATTTAACGGTTTTATAACTATGTGTAATCTTGAAAAGCGTTTGATACACGCCGCAACTACTCCTGCAAGCGATGTTCGTGAGCGACGGAAAACAAACGGCACAGCGATTAAAATTGCAAAAGAGACTACTAACAATCAATAAAAGGATAATAATTCGGTGAAACATATACAGAGACAACAATTTTCATTCACGAAGACAAGTAAAAAGTGTCTCTGAAAATCCTTGTTTATGTTTTAAGCCGGCTTCCCGGCGTTTGCTTTTTTCAAAGATGAACTCGAGGCAAGAAAATCGCTCAAAGCTTTCTTTTACAGCCAGAATTATAAATAAATATTCTTTGGAACGTTTTCTTTCTATTTATAGTGAGAAAATGTCTAAAGGCTTTTTAAAGTTCTGTAAGCTTATAATCAAACCTGATACTCGGTCACATCGATCATTGTCTCAAATCTTACAAACGTGAATAAACTAAATAGGCGCATAAACTACGCCCGACTTCATTAAATTAGATATAAAAAACAAACATCAAATACAATAATTACTCAGGCTTACCTTTCGAGATGCTCTGAAAACTATCAAGTAAGTCCAGAATCGCTTCAGACTTTTCAACCCTCTTACGCATCAAGCAAGGTGAAAAACGAAAACGATGCCATCCGAAATCGGATTTCCGACTTTGACAAGCGACGTATTTCTCAACCAAAAACCCAATAAACAAACTAGCTATGAATAACAGAAGACTCTTGATAGCAGCAGAATTTCATTTTGTACATTCAGCGGAGAAAGACAGTTAAAAACATCACAAGTTGACACAAAACTCTGTCAGCTTCAGCTGTCAAAGTAAACAAGTTTCAAGATGCTGCATAAATTTTCCGCATAAACTCACCTGTCAAATTTTGACCAATCAGAGCATAAAGATTGGACGTAGAGCGTGACCAACGCGTGACCTTGTTGAGAAAAGTCAAAAGCAACTGGCATGTCTTCCCTGCCTGTAAAAACTGGCTGAATTTTAGCTTCCGAGGTCAGTTTGAAATCAAAATTTTAATTGTGCGACACATAAAACACAACATATTTCATATGAATTTTAAAAAAATTAAACTTGAGCCTGCGATCATTTGAAAACTAGTAACTTGTCAGCGGATGACTTTAAAAAGATACTCAACCTCGATGGGTCTACACCTGAGCCCGCGATACGTTCAGGTGATACTGGTCAGCGGATACCCTGTTTTGACAACTGTCAATTGATCACAACATTGATGTACAATATGTGTGCAATACCAGTCTTCCTGTGCTACCAAACTAGCTAGAAAGTGTGAGATTGAACATTGGTTTTCCTGTGGTGCGGACGGACGGGCGGGCTGCGGGCGGTGTACGGTCACGTGATTACCAAATTTTCTCGGATGGGTAGATTTACTTCCCATAGTGCTCCGCAGGCGCGCTTCGCGCGCCAGAGCTCCGCTATTATTATTGATTTTTCACAAATGCAAGTAAACAAGAGCAAACAAGATTAAACGTTCTTGAGTATTGACTTGGCGGCGATAATCAGCTGAAAGCAAATATTTATCCCAGCATTTGCACACATAATAAAACTAATAAAACAGAGAAATGTTGCCTTGACACAGGGCCAAAGCCAGTATGAGGCAAACCGAGGCACCTCCCCCAGTCATTTAACGTTTGATCCCAGTGTTTTGTTTAACCTTAGTCATTATAAAAACGGTAAATAGCTAGCTGGAAAATTCAACCATGGATATTGCCTCAGTCCTTATTTTTTTCTGGCTACGGCCTTGTGACAAATAATCTTTAGGCCAAAAACAAGTGTTCTGAAAAAAGACTTGCATGCCTTAGGCAGACAGCGAGTGGATGCATCTAATTTTTGGCAAACAACTCCAATTTATTTAGTAACACTGTATGGTAATAGTGTTGTGAAATAGAGCCATCGAGAAGGTTAAAACCACAAATGGGCATTATTAAAGGTCTACGGAAGTAATCGGTTGAATGACAACTGTTGCGGGCGGCATCGGATTATTCTATTACCTAATAGAACGGTCTCTGATATACATGTAGCGGCATTTTTCACTTTCATGCGCCTACCTGGCCCAATGTTTAAGCATACTCTCTTTGATATATTGGTAGCGTTCTGACTCATACTCCACTGAAACACATTCACTTATATTACTCACTGCACGACCTGACTACCTGTCAATGAGAAATTCTTATGCTTGGTTGCTTGAAAACAGTTGTAAATATGGAAACTGAGCAAAATTGGAAAAATTTCATGAGAAAATGAGAGGAAGTTTCTAGCCATTAATAGTTTTTTTAGCCAATAATAGTTAAATGACAGTCGTCAACGTCCAGAATATTGTAACAGCGTTGAAATTTGAAATATTAGTTTTGGTTTTTTGACAAATGTAATATGACTTCAAATCATACAATGAAAAAATTGAATGCATTATATTGCATTTCGTTAGTGCATTATGGGGAGGATTAATTCTCCTTTTTTTTCACCTTCTTCTTTAAGATACTCATAATCGGTACAGCAGATGATGCGCTCATATCCTACAATAGATTTGGAATTCAACCAGCTTTGAGTAAATAAACAACTTCAGACTTTGAAAGCGCTTAAACTGAGTTGTTGAGAAACAAAAAACAACTGTGATCAACGTTTCTGGAATGCCGTAATATCAAATCAAACCACAGTGAGCGGGAAACTAAAGCCCTTAGGAACTCGTGAGCCGAAGAAACGCTATTAGTCAGCACTGGGTATAAATTGGGAATATTCTGAGTAACTTGTCAAAGAGATAGAGGCCTCGTTCAGTTCAACAGGTGGTCCGTCAGGGAAAAACCAATCAACTATGGGGACGCCGTTTTTGTTTTCGTTGACGGTAATTACTTCACTAGTGAATTCTTAATACTAGAGAGGGTATATTTTTCAGAAATATTCTAAACATGTCTGCCCCCTTGAATATAGCAGAGCACATTTTTTCTGACGAAAATATCAAACGTTAGTGACTAATTTTTGTCCTAGTAGCTACAGTGTAATTGTTTTAGGGAGAACAATGCAAATGAAAGGTCTTCTTCGTAATATAAACTCCTGCAGAAATTTAATTTCGCATTCCACTAAGATTGGTTACAGCAACGTATTTAGGTCAAATCGTGTCATTGACAAGTTGGCCGAGCTCAGGCATTTCTCTGAATTTTCCTGCGTTAATCCCATGTTGATTAAAATTGAATTAGTTGCATTAGTTTAATGCAGACTCACATCCTAATGTAGTTGGAATAAAACCAGGGAACTCGATTGAAGCGAATTGTCATAAGATGTTAGATTGGTCAGTGATACATCAAAAAATATCGTTTTAGTCTTATTCCATGTAACGCTTGTGGTAAACACGTGGCACAGCCAGATGTTATTATTATGATCGACTTACTTAACAACTTTCATCTCAGAATAATCCTTGCGTTTTCAACGTAATATATTGTCATTGATCACGATTAAAGTCCCTACTGTACTTTTTACAAACTCTGCGCGGGTATCGAAAACTGGTCAAAACTGGTGATAGAGCGGTTTTCACTTGACTGTCGAAAGGGATTGGTTTTGGTTTTGGTTTTGGTTTTACTACGCCCTTTGGTTGGCTAGTGTATTTACTTTGGTTTTGGTTTTACGACAGTCAAGTGAAAACCGCTCTATTATAGTAAAACAAAATCTGAAACAACTCTTGAAAAAGTACTTTTTGGCACTTTGTAACGACTTCTCTTTTGATTGCGTCCAAAATTCTAACTTGGCAGTTCCAAAACTAAAGAGAAATTGAACTAGAAAAAAAAACCTACACTTTTGTCTATAACGACTCTAACTGGCATGTATCTAATTATCAAACTAAACTAGCTTGTGCGGCAAGAAAATAGTCAACGGGCGAATGAAATTAATATGAATGACAACAACACGAGAGACTCTCTTATCCTAATGAGGAGTAGTATTTCAGTTATTTGAGGTAATTCAACGCGACCGTGTCCCCCCCCCCAGCTAAATACTTTCTCATCCCCACCTCTCCAAAAATTTCTGTAATGCTCTCAATTTATTTGCGTTTATTGTTTATTTTATGATAGGTTTTGAGTTGTATGGCAAACTCCCAGTCAGCACGAGTTCCCTTTCTTAACTGGGGTAATGACTCCCCCCTGGAACATCAAGAGCAGAGTAAGAAGAATATAATGAGTGTTAAAATCATACGTTGGTGGCTGGGGGCTAACATATCTAAAGAAGAGCACTAGATCAGGTCAGTCGACTGCTGGGCAGGTCTACATCTTCATCTACTGCTATACTTGGAAAAGATTGCCGATTGAGCCAAGTCATGTCCATGACCAGCCAATACTGGGCGGACTTTTTAAGATCTATCAAAGTTTAGTCAAGGCTGGTCTGCCTAGAATAGATCTTTAGTCTTTCAGTTATGAGAAAGGTTTGCCCTGTAATATAAGAAAATACTTGCTTTTATTGAATCAGCTATACAGCCATTGTGTTGATTGAAACACGTAAATAGTAATTACGAAAGCTTGTATGAGAATGTAAGATCATTCACCAATGGAAAATTCCTTCAGCTGCCTAAAAAGCATGATTACGACCACAGTCGACGTGAAATGACACAATTTTCCACCAGAAGTCCTTCAAGCTCTCATAACAACCGTCTGAACCGTACCAGTGTGCTTCTCGCCAGTGTGACGTCAAACTGCTAATTTCTAACTAAGAGGGTTTCTAAGAGGGAGGTGGACACTAGTTATAGATAAAAGTTAACCGTCTCATCCTGCCCAGTTTCGTGGTTTTGTCTTCATATTCTGGGGCTATTTTTAACCAAAATCGTCGGTGAAAGCAATAGCATCCAAGTGAATTTCTCTTTATACTTTCCTCCGGTGTAAATTCAAATTGTTTTTTGTTTGTTTGTTGCTAACAGATCCTCCGCCAGGACCACTGAACTGCTCAAGTTGCGCAGCATTTAGCGAACAAAGTTGCATAGCGATGCAAACTGTAGAACAATGTCCAGCACCTTCACCAGGCCAGGAAGACTTGGTTTGCTTTACTCAGCAAGCATCTGACTCAAAAACAAACCAAACATTTTTCACCAGAGGATGTATTCTGCCGTCCCTGTGTGATCTTGTTTGCTCTTCGTTTAATAACAGTAGAGGGGGAGCAATCGAGTCTTGTTCAACGGTTTGTTGCAATACAAGGTTATGCAATAATGCTGGGTCTCTTCCAACTACTCAGGCGCCAACAACAATGGTTCCGTCAACAACTGTACAACCAACAACTCCACTTGGTGATAAATAAAATATATATATATATATATATCATAAAATAACATGACATAACATAACATAACATAACATATATTATTAGCATTCCCATATATAGAAATGGTATTGCTTTTAAACTGTTAAGTAATGATCCGGGTAAGGTGGATAGCAATTTCTTTTGTTATGCGGCAACGGTGCTTTCCCCACATAGGAATGTTCTCGTTTTTACACAGAGAATGCATAAACCTACATGATGGCCGTTTACGCAATAAAATGCATCTACACTCCACTTTGAAAGGGTGTTTTTTTGTGTTAAAAGATTTTGACCAATCACAAGAGTTGAAAACAATAGCCAAGAAAAGTTTATAATTTTACATGTTCCCCACATAGTATTTCTTTGTTATTCAAACTGAGACCAGATTTTGTTATATGGAAGATGGTTGGAAAGTAAGGATGAATATATGTACTGCTTTATGAAGTTTTGTTAACTTTTGCTGTTTAAGCCAATCAGAAGTAAGGACAGGCAATAGAAAAGTTAGCACCTTTTTTGCATTCCAACATGTTCGTCGCCGTTGTTGCTATCGTTCTTATCTGGACCGTTTCTTAATTACCATTACAATTTTAATAATGTTTAAATTAACCAAATAAATAGAGAGTATCAATTAAATGTAATAATTAGTTATCTCTATTTCCCATGCTTCTGTTTCATGAAATACGTTTCCCTAAGTTCAAATGCTTCATAGACAGAGTAGCTTCGTTTTTACAAACATATGGATCAATATTATTAAAAAGAAATATAACTTTTTCTGATTCGTTGAAATCTACGAATTTGGAGTACCTGGTTTCTACGTCTTGAAAAAAGTGTTTTCTTAAATTGCTATATAAATTGCATTCCAGTAGAAAATGAATTTCATTTTCTACTTTATTCGACGAGCAAAAACTGGCAAATTCTAAGATTCTCGATCAGAAATTTTAGGAACATGATATCTATCAGTCTCAATTCTCAACTTTTGGTTACTTAATCGTAACTTTGCTACTTCCTGGCGGCGTTTTATAATATTCTAATCCACTAACATCAGTCTTAAAAGTAGACAAGGAATTCAATTTTTTGTAAGATCGCAACAAATTATCAAATTACATCAAATCATAATCAATAAAGTGGTAATTAGAAACTATAGCAAAATTTCTTATTGCCCAGCAATTCTAAAAAACACACTCATAATCTCTTAGCATCTTTGATGATCACACTACCATTTTCACTCCGCCAGATTTTCAATGTTTTCTACAATATTTGAGCAAATTTAATGGTTCTATATCAGTGCAGAGGTAATCCAAACCACGACAAATGTAAGGCAGAGTAAACGGAACTTGGAAGGTGTGAAAAGTCTCCTTTGACTTTGAAGGGTTCTGTGATACCTTGAGCCATCAAAGTCGCAAATAGAGACAGTTTCTGGCTCAAAAAAAAAAAGACAAAGCCACTTTACTTCCCCCCCACCCCCCTAGTTTTCCTGTCTGTTGTGAAAGGTAAGAAGTAATAAGGTGTATTATTTTCCTTTTCCAGCATGTGGTGGTCAACTGACGGGTAAATCTGGAACTTTTAAGTCTCCTAATTTTCCTAATAACTACCCTAATAATGTAACCTGCGTTTGGACGATTATTCCACCAAACAGAACAGTGCTCTCTATTGCATTCTTCCAACTTGGGTGGTAAGTCAAGCCATATAACATAACTAACTAACAACAAACTAACTAATTAACTAACTAAATAAATAATTAAATACCTTCCGCTTCCATATTTATATCTGAGACGGATAGTAGCCCCGTCCGTCGTGCCCATTATTGAATAAACTGAGACGAACTACGAAAGGAAAAAAAATGTTGATTTAAATGAAAGAAGACCGCTGGATTCAGTTCTGTGGCTTTATTAGTCCAATGTCGAAATATCCAAGACGAAATAAACCGTTTCAAACAAGCTTCAATTCCGTTTTACCCATCAACGCTCGCAAACCAAAGTGAAAAGGATTTTCTATTATCGATGTCCCGAATTTTGCATCTTTATTTGTTACTTAATATATGAACAAAGGAGTTTTTACTCCTTGTATTTGTGTTTCTAGCGGAGATTTTGTAGAAATCTTTGTGGGTGGCCGGCTTGAGAGGCGTTTGACAGGAAGGATGTTAAGGATGAAGTGTTCCCGCTTCGGCGACGAGGGCGAACAGCTTTCCAACGATGAAGATCTTAACGACCTCATAAGTGGTATCGACGGGTATGACGATATTGGTGATGATAACAGAGACTACGATGATGAGGATACTGACAGGAATATCGATGATGAGCAGTCTGAAGTTTATAACCAAGATGACACTGATGCTAATGACAATGATGACAATAACGACGTATATAATGAGAACGACGTTGAAGATGAAGAAAATGATCAACTGGAAAATGGCGAGTATCTAGCGGACGCAAATCCCTGGAGTGGCAGGAAGTGGAGGAGAATGCGTGGGAGCCGGAGGAGACTGCGCAGGCTCAGAAGGAGGCTGCAAGTTTTGCGTATAAGAGGAGGCCAGGAAGTAAGAATTGTTTTCAGTTCCAATGGCAATGGAACCATGCGTGGGTTCAAAGCTTCCTATGTGGTTCGACGTAAGTGATATCTTCGAACGAATGTTATGATAAAGGACCTCGGCTGTTACATATGTAATTGTAATTCGAAATGTAATTTGTTTACCCACCAAGTACTTAGGAGTTCTCAAGAACTCGTTAAAATGTGTCCACTCGTTCTGGATCAAATTGGATTTTGAAGAGTGTTGATTTTTGAGGAGAGGGGAATACCACAGTCCCCGGAGGGAGAGAACCAACAACAAAATTAATTCATCCCATATATGGCGTCGACGCCGGGATTTCAGCCCGAGCCACGTTGGTGGGAGGCGAGTGCTCTCATAACTGCACCACCGTTGCTCCCACCATAGCAGGGTCTTGCATACTAATCCTGTCGAAAATGTCATGGAGTTTTGCTAGAAAATTTATTTTTCAATGCTCTACGTAATTATAATAATAATAAAAAGATCCCGTTGTCATGAAAAAACAGATGTGAATGATCCTTTAAAATAAGGATCGAAAACATGCAAACAAACTGTCGCCTCCTACCCAGTATGTTAATAATATTACAAACAGTTATTGATGCCATACTCAGCATAGCTATACCTCTTGCAACGAGTTACACACGTCGTCAATAATGTGCAGTGTTACGAAGTAATCGTGAAAAAAGCAAACAACATTTTACGACACGTGTAAGCAAGGCGACTTTTAATTAACCTCTTTTCTGGTGCTTATACCCTGTATACAAGAAAACATTAAAACCCTGAGAAATATGTTGAAACTGAACTAGGCCGTCCTGTCTGTTTATTATTGTTATTTTTTTTTCAATGTTTTTCAGGTGTTTGGCCCCCGCGTCCGATTTGGGGTAGAGGATAAAATCAGCTTTGCAGTATAAAAAATCAGACTTTAATCAGTGAATCAATCAATTTTCAGCAAATCAATACAGGCTTTGTATCAGCAACTTTCAGAAATGTAGGAGATCAATAGCTGAGAGAACAACCTGCTGTGATGGCCTAAGGGCGAACTGGAACCTCCAAAGGAAAGAGAAAAGGATCCGGACTGTTTTCTTGAACTCAGAGTTTTTGGGATCCAATCCGCATGGTATGCTTATGCTTAGCAATGTTACCTCGGGTGCTCTTTTTCACGATGTTTGGAAGTGGTTGAAGAGAGCTGTGCGCATAGATGAATGGGTTTTCTCAGTCTGCTCTTTTTGCAGTATTATACCTACTTAAAATTGGAAGAAAAAATAGCTTAATCATTTAAAAGGATTACTTAAAATTGATTTGCTAGCAGCATTTTCTTTTATTGAGTTATTAGCTGTATTTTTTAAGGTCAGTTTTGACTTGAAATGATGAACATGATAAGCAATAAATAACACTTCTCTTTCATACATGTAGCTCTCAGCTGTGTCACTCTTTAATACGTTACAGAGAAAAAAAATGCGACATTTTATGGCTTAACTGCAGAATACCCGGCCATTTAAAAGCTATTCCCCTAAAAGAGTGGCTACTTAGCTACGCGGCTACATGGCTACGCGGTTATGTGGCTATTTAGAATAGCAGGTCACTTCGAATCTAGACCCCTTACGCTCCAATTTACTCCCACTACCACACAATACACCTCGTTCTATAAGCATTTCACTTTTGGTTAGACTTGGAGAGGGGACTGACTCGAGATTAGAATAAGAGTTAGAACAGACCATTTGCACGATTGCACGATGACATCATTTTACTACTACGACCAGAATCCCACTTGAGGTTAAAGATACTATTAGGGATAGCCGCGTAGCCACGCAGCCACGTAGCCACTTAGAGTTAAAGTTAGAGTTTGAAATAGCTACGTAGGGATAGCTAACCCTAACCCTAACCACGTAGCCGCGTAGCCACGTAGCCACTGTTATGGGGGTATAGCCCTAAAATGGCCGGGTATTCTGCAGTTACTCCCATTTTATAATAAGTTTAAAAAGAAGGTCGGAAAGGGTGGGAAGAAAGGGGGGTTGGTGTCGTGCACGGTTCACGCGTTAAAACAGACTTTTCACGAATCACGCACAATTCAGCGTTCGATATCAGTTTCCCCCATATAGTACTGCAAAACCGAGGTGTCTACCATTATTGCATACACATGAAATAATTGTAAAATACTATATTTACTGACAATAATGCCGTAGTCTACACAAGCAGAACTGGTTATACTTCCTTATTTGCAATCCTTCATAGCAGTGTGTATGCGCAAAAACAATATCTTTGCCAGTAGTTTCATAGGTCTCATAAGGCAATGACACAGACTAAACAATACAATGTTCACATCTGTGGCCGGACAACTCTGACTATTTGACCTCTACTTGTCTGTATGCCACGGAGAAACTTTATTACATCTTCATTGATTAGAATCTGTGGCATGTTCTTGCCAATGTTATGCTCTTAATTACCTGTGAGTGACAACTTTATCCCCAAGGGTCCCAAAGAGCCACTTTGATTGGTCTAAGCGCAGCGACCCGTTTTTGGATCGTTAAAACTGAAAAGTCCTTCGTCCCGCGCCATGTTATTAAAGTCCTACGAAGGACTTTTTTGTTCGGAGTCATCGGAAACGTCAAAAGTAGAAGCATCCTGCTGATCATGAGGTTAAATGTCATAAGCTGTAGTTTCTACATCATCTGGAAAAAGTTGAGTGGGGAAAACTTCTTTCTGTCTGCTGGTGTATATGAGGAATGGTACATTTTGAGAAGTGTTGCTTGTTCGAAAACAGGATAATACGATGCGTCATGTGTGAAATAGTCAGCAGCCCACGGAACATCTCTCTTATGCTTTCATAACAGTGTCTGCCAAGTTGCGTGCATACTGCATCAGCAATGCGGTTTTCAGCTGGTCAGTGGCTCTTTGCATGGAGGTTCTCCTCTTGGACCGACAGGCACGTGTGAAGATCAACTGTGCAAGCTGGATTGAGATTGTTAAGGAACTTGTATTTCTTTAAGGACGTTGCCCACTAATGGGAAGTATTTTTTCCCAGATAATGACTATGTGAGACAAGTAGATCATATCAGGGGCTATTGAAATCCAAAAAGAAAACTGGGGGTAACCACGCATTTTTCAGAGATAACTGCGCTTCAATGTGGAGAAAAACGCTGAATAGGCGTTTTCTAAAAAAAAAGATGAAAAGTTTTTTTTCCCAAAATTTTAGAGTGCACACGTGAACTGGCACAAATGCAATGATAATTGTAACAAGGTTTCAAAATAGGCAGCAAATGATAACATAACAACTGCTCTTTATACGTCTTTTTTTTGAAATATCAGCACAACTGGGAAGTTATCAGCAGTTACCCCTCTCCACGCTTTTGCCTCAAAAATAGTGTAAACGACATTTTCCCCGAACCAAAAACTGATCGTTTGGTGAGTAGGCTTATTACTTTCATTTGGTAAGATAAAAAGCAGGGGCTACCACGCGTTTTTAGAAGTTAAATTGGTTGGTTTCGACCTTGACTTAATCGTTTTGGGGGTTATTTACAATTTTCCCCATCCCCTCCCCGGTCAGTTTCACTATTGCTTCACCCAACGCGGAGTACTCTGGTATATCCACAATGGCTAACAGTCAGAGAAAACAACAACACACGGAGGAGAGCAAAAAGAGAAAGGGAAGCAGGACATGTCATGGACTCTAAGGAAAACAAATTATACTATGTCATTCAACTGGAGCTTCTCCGTCTCCACGACTGGTGCTGTAAACAAACTACTGTACTGTAGTGGAAAATAGTCGACAGGGACTCTAAAACAGGTACCCCTTTTATCGTTTGCTTACCTGTACATGTCCTCAAGATTTTTTGAACTGTAGATGTAATATGGATTGTAAATCTTCTATCGTTTCTTTATCATTTTACGGGGTACCTCGATCGAATATGTTATTAAACTTGCATACATTCAATGAGCTTCTATCTGTGCTTTGCGCTATCTCTTTCGGGCTTTGCCACAAGTGTCATATGACATAAATGATTTGCATAGACTCAAGTACCATACATGAGCTCTCTTTTAAATAAGCTGAATAGCGTGAAAGTATTCGTACCGAATGCGTTTATGTACCCTCATATATGCACTGGGCTATAATGATCATTTTATATGTTTTGTTTTGATTTTTTTTACTGTTGCATTCTGTGTCATGACCATTCACTATTTTTCGTTTCTAAATGTTAATTAGACTTAACAGTGTCTGTTAAACTTAAGAAAGTCTTAGAATGGAAATACTTCAGTTTATTTTACCTTCCATCTTTAGTTTGTAAACAGCCAAATGGCAGCTATGTTAAATGTCCAGATTACGTGGGGCGTGAAATTGAACCTTAAGAAATGCTATCTACACGACAAGCTGCCAATGAGTCAAAAATTTTTAATGCAAGTTAGCAATGCCAAAAAGCTTAAATAACAATGATGAAGAATTATTTCATATATACTTCACATCATTTCACTCCTCACGGGAGATATGAACTCAATAAATTGACCTCGTTCCCAATGTGTGGCTTCATAGCTCAGTTGGGAGAGAACGCACGGTAACGCGGAGGTCACGGGTTCGAATCCCGTTGAAGCCCTGATTTTTTTCAGGCTTCTTCTTTCCAATTGCTTAAATTGGAAAATTTACTGCGATGATCATTCTTCACTTTCAATGATGATAGCAAAAAGCATAACAATTTTTTATCATTTTTTCCACGATGAAAGCGTTTCCTTTGCGGTCCGCAACTATTTGTAAAGCTGCTATCTCAGCAATCCAAACAATCTTGTGATGGTTTTTTTCTTGTTTGTTCAACAAATAAAAGCCTCGGACTCTCAAGAAAAGGGATATCTGTATGTACTCGAACGCTTTAAGTCTATCTTCTGGTGGATAATTACATAAGATCTGGCAAATTAAAGAAATATTCGGGAAAGTGTTTATCGCCGATAAGTCGATAAAACGCGAAGAACGGGAGTGAAAAGGTAAGCTTGCAGTTTCTCGGTTAAGCGGAGGACTTAGAGCTATTTTCCTTCTGATTTACTACTCCTTGTCTATTAAGGGTTTTTTAATACCCAAGCCCTAAGCGTAACATCTTGAAGCAATAACTTTTGATGTTTTAGAATTGACTTTTGTTTGACTATAAAAATGTTTGGTCAGATCGATCATACGTAGAAATAGCAAAATGTGCATACTTCTTCGGTTTTCAAAGAACTGACAATGTAAATAGAAAATATTTTTCATCTGTTGAAAAACGACGCATCTTTTCCACAAGAAATAACTAGAACCTCCCAGACTTACAGGAGACAAAACCAGTCCGCGTGTCCTGCGTGTTGCGCATTTCTTTCGCGTCGCGCGACTATCTTCGTATGCGCACAAAATGTGCGCAGTAACAATAGTAGGCACCGTCCTTAAGGCCCCTCAGAATCATGCTGACAGATGACATAATAGACATCACCTTCCAAAACTTGGAAAACGCTTCCCTCACTGTCCGTGCTTATATTGTCGCTCGCCATACATAATCAATGCAGGTCATGTGATCATGGTAACGTCTGGACATGTCTAGGACTGGTAGTGCGTGACGAGCGTGGCATTTTGTTGATCTTTGTTGACAATCTGTACAAGGTATTATCCGGACTCTGAGAACGAGATTGGACAGCCTTGACCTTGACATATCAAGTACCTGGAAAGTTTACGTTGAATATTTCACGAAAAATTAGCTAATTATAGACCATGTTCATGAATCTCGAGAAATAAATTAGTTACTTCACGAATCGCAGGAAATAAATTCTTTCGTTTACGACTAAAGGCAATTAAAAAGAGGTCTCGCGGTAAACTCTCTTTTAGACGCTCTTGAAATGTTGCTTTTCATGGACTTTTAAATGTGCAAGATAAAAACACTTTTTTCAGATTAATTCTGGTGTAAAATCTTATAATACTGTGCTCCTGAATTAGAAACATTAACTGAATATGCACTATGTACTTTTAATACTCTGCCTCTAAGAGGTATTAGGCTGATTTAGCAACAGAACGGGAACGCCAGTTGACGACGGGAAAGCGTGCGGAAAGGACTAAACGCTACTGCCGGTGCCCAATTTGCCGCTCTGCGATTGGTCAAACCAGTTGTTTGATTTGCGCGCGCCGTCGTCAACTGACGTTCCCGTTCTGTTGCTAAATTTGCCTATTATATAAAAAAGAACGTGACCACACATCCATTGTACAAAGCTCTTTATTTTTAGCGAAAAGAATATTAATACTGTACAAAGCAAGGAACAAGTTTAAAATTAAATCATAAAACACTGAAAAAAATGATAGAAAACATTCGGCCTGATAGTTCTTTTTTAATTGCAGCTGCTTGAATTTAATTTCACTATTTACAGAATGATGTAGTTTTTCAGTGACAGTGTTGGTCTCATACTTTAACTGCACTGCACTGCAGGCATTTTCTGAAGGAGTTCAAGTACTAGAATATCTCCTGCGTCCTAACTTACTCTAAAAAGCTTTCGTTAGCAGTGTATGGATGGATGAAAAAATGGGAATTGTTTTTCTTGTCGAGGAATGAGATATGTTTTCTTATTTCCACAGCCTAGCAAAACGTTTTAAGAAAAGACAAAAAGCAACATCCAAAACAAAAAAGCAGAAATATGTTCAACATGACAAGGAAGGGAAGGAAATGAAAGCGGACAGGAAATGTCGGCTACAACACTTAGGAAATGATGAGCGATTGACATCTTCCCGAAAGAGACGTCTTCAATGCAGGAATTTCTAGCATACAATCCTACACGAACAACAATCTGCTAACTAAGGTTATTATGCTGTTGGGTGTGAGCGTACAATCTGTTGTCATTATCCAAATAAACCACCTGAAAACAAAAACGGAGAAAGAAAGCAAGTACTTTTTACGTGCAAGTGTCAAGTGCAACGGGGAATTTCTCAGAAATGGATTTATCACATTTAGAGAATGTTTGGTAGTGTTTGTTCACAACCAATAAAATTTTGAGCACCTTCATTTATTTATTTAATTGTTTATTAATTTTTTTATTATTATTTTTATTGTTATTATTATTATTAAATGTTTTCTTACGGAAATTTTTTCTTTAGTTAGGTCTTCTTATCGGGTAATTTGTACGGAAAATGAACAGCAATAGATTTATATCTCGCCTCATGGATCAGAACCTTATCCGCATTACTAAAATCAGCACATTGAAGTTTATGCCATCCACTAGGACGTTTGACTTGATTCTTTATAGCTTTACGTGATTTATTGGAATTCTGAATGGTGAAGGGCCGGGGTTTTGCCAGAAATTTGTATTGATATGGACGTTTACTTTTTATGAATATTTTACTGAAGTTTTGTGTGTAGTTTTTATAAGATTTTAATAAAGTATTTTTTCATTAAAAATTATTATCATCATCGCCATTATGATTATTATCATTATCATTCCATTTTATTTTTGTTAACTTTAAAATTTGTCTTTCATAGTGATACCCTTCAAACAACAGACACAGGGCAAAAGGCCTGGCGTGTGAGGGGCAGTTGAACGTTTGTCCATAATTCCCACAAAACAAAAATGAAAAATAAATGTATAAATAAAATTCACCTCACCTTGCAATACGCGATACATCACATTGAATCCTTGTCTGGTGATAATGCGGTCTGATTTAAAAATGATTACAATCTCCTCCCCTGTTCCTGGAATGTACAAGTAAGGAAATCCGAAGAATCCTCCTGTTCGGTATTTTTTCTTCTTGTGATCATCGTCGTCGTCATCATCTTCGTCGTCATCATCGTCGCAATCATCGTCGTCGTCGTCGTCATCATCTTCGTCGTTGATCCAACCATAGCGATAATATACTCCACTCATACGCTGCAACACTCGCCATCCTTGCACGATTTCAACGTAATCGTGACTGTTGATAAGACGGATAAATAAGCTACCTTAATTGAAATGAATTATTTAACAACCATTCATTTATGTTTTTCAAATGTATATATACCTGGTAACCTCTGAAAAAAAAAACTGACAAAAATGATAAAAAGTAACATAAAAATTTAAAAAAATTAAATTAAAGTAATTAATGACACTGATTTGACGTAAACTTTTCGGACCTCTAATTAGAAAGGTTAAGAAACGTAAAATTTGTTTATTATTTTTTATTACAATTTTGTTTGTGATTGCTGTAATAGCACTAAGCAATTATGTCATCGTAAAGTCGTTATAGATAGTTCAGAGAATTACTTTAAGTTGAAGGCAAGGCTGTTCGGAGAGCTATGAATAGATAATTTATTTGCTCAATATTATATTAACCAACCATCGCTCAGTTTCAAAGGTAACGAAATTCAGCATCAGGGTCGATCCTCTTGGCACAGTAATTGACCATCTGCACCGTGCGTCATTTGGATAATTAGCAGGGAAACCAGGTGATGTGAAATTTCCAGATATACCAGTCAATGGACCTCCACAAATTGCTAATCAAAGAAAATAATTCAAGCAGCAGAACTCAGAAAATCAGTAAACAATCATGTAGCTTCCTCATACTTTGTTCGTTAAATTATAGAAAACTAACAAAAATGGTAGGCTTTTGCAAAAGCTAGTTTTGAAGGTTGCATTCGTCTATGAGTGTCTAAAGACAAGCGTTAATAGATCAGTTCCATCATATCTTTGGTTAAACGTAAATTAGCTAGGGCATCAATACTACGAAGCTAAATCATCATTCTGCTCGACATTTCAAGACGGAAAACATTACAGGGAACCTCTATTCAGGGGCCGCCCTTAGGACCGAGGCAAGTGTCCCTTAAACAGAGGTGTCTCCTGAATGCAGGTTGGGCTGGGGTTTGTTAATAATTAATTAACAAGCAAAGTTAACATATAATTTCAGCTAGATAACAAATATAAAATCATGAAAAACGTATCTCTGCATTATTGTTTGTTGAATTTTCACAAGTCCAGTGCATTGATTTAAGTGAGATAGTTCATGTTGTGAAAGATGCCATGATCGTAATATGCCTAAAGTTTTCAACCCTCTTTGTGGTCAGTCACGTTTTGAGTGCTAAGGTGTCCCCCAACAGAGGTTAAACCTGGGTTACGGGACCCAGAAAACGTGTCTCTTTCGCCTGAGGTGTCTCTTCAACAGAGGAAACAAATAGAAAGATTATGTGAACATTTTTCCGGACCAAATTTTGTGTCCCTTGAATGGAGGTATCCCTTGAAGAGGGGTGTCTTAAAGGCGAGGTTCCACTGCAGATTTTTTCAAAAACATTACTTAGCTGCACACTCCTGTTAACACGTGAAAATTTGGTAGAGACTGGGTTCTACTGGGTTACCTGCTTGTCCAAAAGTGTAATGAGCAAAGAATCCCCTCCTGGTGACCCAAGGATCCGATCTGAAAACAATCCTGATTGGCTCAGCAGTTCCTTGGATGGATACAACATTAGCATCTCGCCGGCGCCTGTTTTCGTAGGAGAGTCTGCCAAAACTTCGTTTATCATCATAACCGTCTTCACGTTCATCACGATCATCACGATCATCACGATCATCACGATCATCATCATCACATTCATCATCATCATCATCGAATTCGTCATCTTTATCGTCATCAATTTTCTTGAGATATTTTTCGTCTGTATCAACTCCCTTCCCAGAGACACGATGTAAAAGTCGTCTTCCCGCAAAAACTTTGACGTAATCACGGCTGCAGAGTTGAATACAAATGGAAAACATATTTTGGTTTATTTTCTTTACGTTGCTTAATTACACGCTTTGCTTAAACTTTTAGACCTCTCGCACCTCTGGTACAGTTTTTTTGCTGTAAAAATATATACTACTTAGCATAGTAAAACAAGCTATTGAAATCAAGATCAAATCGGGGGAATATATTTTTATTCAAATCCAACGGTAAAAAAAACACAAAATGTGATGATATATCACTGCTTTTGAAGGGCTTGCTTACTTTTTTGGATAGTAAAGTTTCATTGATGACATTTTCTTAGTCCCAGATCCAAGTTCTTTTATTATTGAAAAGATTAAAAAAACCGTAATGGCAAATTTCCAACCAAGCTTGAATTCATTTGGCAAAGGTTATGTTGATGTTATGACATAATCAAGAATATAATTGCGGAATTCGAAACATACCAAGATTCAGTTTCGAAGAAAAGAAAATCAATTCTGAGTTGTGATCCTTGAGGTACAGTAATTGTCCAGACACAATAGGCGTTGTTAGGGTAGTTGTCAGGATAATAAGGAGATGCCAAATTCCCGGATGGACCAGTGAGAGGACCACCACACATTCCTAAAACAAAGGTATAAATGAGTTTTGTTTGTTGGTGCTTGGTGTTGGCGCAGTGTCAACTGTTTGTTTGTGTTTTGTTTGATTGCATAATATTAAGGTTTCATAACCCGAGGCTTAAAACAGGTACTCCCCTTTAAGCTCTGTTAATTTTCAGGACCCTAAAACGTTTGGGTGTTATATAGCGGAGCTCTCGCGCGCGAAGGGCGCCAGCGGAGCACCATGGGTAAGAAAATGAAGTTATCTACCCATCCGAGAAAATTTGGTACCCACGTTACCGTACTCCGACCGACCGCAAGAGAGAAAGCAAGAGAGCAAGAGAGAAGACAGAGAAAAAGAGAAAGTGCGCAGCAGGCCAGCGAGAAAAAGGGCGACGGAGATTTAAAAAAAAATTGTAGCGCCAGTGACAGAATGAGAAATTCTAGCGGCCCCCAATAATGCAAGGTGAAAATGAGCGGCAGTGGAAAAAGTGAACGAGAACACGTACGACATTTCCTCCATAAAGCGTGTAGCTAAGAAGTTTCTGGAAGTTTCACGTTGTAGTCGTGCAAAAAAACGGCAAAGAAATGTACAAACAAAGTGTGCTGCACGTGCAAAGTTGCATTTTTGCTAATTAGAGCTATTGTTGTTTTTCACCGTTCTCCGGCTCCGGCCTTCGCCGCTTAGCACTACTACACAATATTTTATTTTTTGTTTGAACAAACTATAAATATTATCAAGAGCTTCGCTTTTAGCCCTGGCTAAATCTATATATTCTCAAGTATTGAAATACTTAACCTTAATTATGCGCCTCCTGGCGCAAAGTTCGATGACGATAATGATAGAGATACTCCTTTTCCTTTTTTTTATATATTATATTTCAAAGTTATTGCAGAAACTTAAATTCCATTTTTACGCAAATCCTTACTTAAAGGAATGTCCAAAATTCATACTCATTGTAGAAAGCAAGTAATTTCATAATTACAGTTGAACCTCTTACAACGGCTGCACTACAACAGCTTTTATTTTTCTCGCCGCGAGGAAATAAACTGAAGCTTGATTTTTAACCCTTCTTTGAACTCTGCCTTCTTCCAAGTGAATTGCCACTTGAATCAGCGGTCCACAAGCTCAATGTTTTGTGCTAGAATGAACATCGTTGAAACTTCGCATGTTCATACCTTGCTGTTGACCTGGCAACAGTTTCCCAGGTAACATGTTTAGAGGAAAAGGTAACCTCACTGATTCAGCTACTGTTACGCAGGATACCACTACCTACCAGAGGAAAAAAAAACAAAGAAAATCACAGCTTTATCTAAGTAAAAGGGAGAAAAACTCCTGAAAAGATAAAACTGAATTTTGAAGACGTTGTCGCCAGCAAAGTGACCAGCAGAACTGACCAGTGCACTTGCTGTACTAGTATAGGTAATAGCATGATTTGTAGTGATATTTGGCATAAATACCACGAGTGATATTTCGAAATGGTTATACGTAATTTCACGAGCCGTTAGGCGAGTGAAATTTGAGACAATTTTGAAATATCACGAGTGGTATTTATGCCAAATATCACGTACAAATCATGCTATTATTTGTTTATACTACTACCAGCAAAAGGTTTGTAATTTTCACATTAGGTATTTCAAATTAACTTCTCAAACTCATTAATAATTCATTAAGAAAATACAAAGGAAATTAATGTTTAATGAGTGTTTGGAAATCGGATGAAACACTGCTTAGTATTTGCATCCTTAATTTCTCCTTCAAAAATGATTTTGTTTGAGAAGAAATATCAAACATTCGACACAGTGTTTCATCACCAGATGAAACACCTCGAAGTTCGTCAAAAATACTCCGCTGCGCGTCGTATTTTCAACTCTCTTCTCGGTGTTTCATCTAGTGATGAAACACTGCATCTCATGTTTGATATATTACCTGAAATACCACTGCTCTAAGCCAATCAAATTGCAGTAATTTTTCATGTAGTAGTATAAACAGTTGAATATTGCAACACAATTACAAATATTGTTCAAGGAACTATGTACTCCCTGGTGAACGTGTCTCATTTGCTGAAACAAACTTTTTGGGGGACCAAATTAATGCATATATTGATGGACACTCCAAATTGAAATTGAAAAAGTTAATAAGCATCACATTATTGAAAGACTTGAAATAAAATTTTTTAACTAAATGATGCAAAGCCACTTAGAGATTCGTTTGTATGCCCTCATGGCATCATATCTTCTTAAACCTTCGACCCTTATGCGTGATATGCTAAGATTTCTATCATGCAGGTTGACGAATTTCTTATTTGAATGATCTTATACGTTCTTCGAGTTCCCAAGATACATTAACCTTCTGTAAATCAAGTAACTGAAATGCTTCTAAAACATAACATTTATAATGTATTGATAAACTTGTCCAAATTAGTCAAGCACATGAGTGAACCTGTTTTCAATTGATATCCCGTGGTTCAGAACGAAGTTGTCATGGCAAGCGGAAATGATAACCTAATATTGAAGTAAACTTTGTCATATTTAGCATTGGGTCCTAAAATATCAAGCTGGTAGAAAACAAACAAGCTAGTAGAAAAGCAAGTGAGAACGGCATTTACTGGAGAATATCACAATTGCGTGGTGCATGGTTACCCTTAAAAAAATGGGCTTGTATTCAGAGGGAGGGCAAAAGAATGGTTTGTGCATATGGTGGTTGCTTTAACTTTCAAGAAACCGACCGAAGAGGAGATGAAGGATTGTTTTGGGTTCCTCTCCATGCTCAATACTGCGATCGCGTACTATAAAGCCATCGCGTTACGCACACGGCTTGTTACTTCTTCGACAATACGTTTATGAAAAATGTTGGTAAGGTAAGGGTTACTTTTTTTTCTGTCTTTCTTTAATGAAGCTATGCTATCGCTCTGACAGCAGCGAGAAAGAAACGCAACAATCTAAATTGAGATGATGCGCACTACACAAATAAGATGGAGAGCAACCTATATACCATTCAACAAGTGATAGACGAATCATTTGTTTTAGGTAAAAAAAATGGACAGATACGTTTATGCAACAAACAAATGTTACGCGACAAACTTTTCAACGCCAAAATTACTGACAGTGACTCCTGTCACGTGTGTGAATCGAAGCAGACCCTAGAGCATCTGTTAGTAGAATGCCAGCATGTCCACTCCTTCTGGAATCTTTTTACCTCTTGGTGGAACGATAATAATTCGCCCTCAGTGTCCTTGACCAATAACGCTAAGATTTAAGGATCTCTCCCTGAGAATCGATCCTTCCATACGTTTAATTTTTGAATGAATGATACCTTTATTTAAACACGGTTAAAACATCAGTCTAACATAGAAAATTAATTAAAAATTCTCAAAAACTGTTTTACATGTTTGCCGTGTGGGATCGTGTACTGATCAGAAAACCATCTATGGGAACTTCTCTTAAAGAAACTTAAGGAATTTGATGTTCGTATTTCCTCAGGAAGATTGTTCCATAGAAGAGCGCCACTGTAACTTAAGCTACGCTTCAGGTAATCAGTTCTTGGTTTTGGGAGCATTAATTTTTTCTTCGCGTTGCGAAAATAGTAATTCGGTGTTCTTGGGGCAAAACACATTACAGAGATAAGCTGGGGCGAGATTATTAATGCACTTGTACATTAAATTAGCCTTTTGTTTAGCCCTTCTAACCGATAAATTGTCCCAACCAAGCGAGTTAAGAAGAAATCTGGAACTAGTATCACAGCTAGATTTTGTGATAACTCTGATAGCACGATTTTGAAGTTTTTGAAGTTTCTCACTAATCTGTTGGGTCAAGCCATCCCATACAGCGCTGCAATAATCAAAGTGTGGCTCGATAAGACCTTTGTGTATTTTAATTGCAGTGTGCATTAAAACAAATGGCCTCACCCGCTTAAGAGCACCTATACCAGAGATACTATTTTAGAGATTTCATGAATGTGGGCCTTCCACGAGAGATTTTCATCAATGATAAGCCCGAGAGATTTGCTTTGATTGCTTTGGTTTACTGGGACGCCGTCTATATCAATATTCATTGTGTAGTCATTTAAGGACTGTAGTTTCTGCCACGAGCTAATAACCATAAACTCTGTTTTGGCGACATTGAGACTTAACTTATTAGCTTTGAGCCAGCGATCAATATATTTCAGGTCACGATTGATTTGGGACTTAACATCAGATATAGTAGCTGCTGAAAAGGTAACATTAGTGTCGTCGGCATACATTCTAGGAGAGCCCACATTCAAACAATTTGGTAGATCATTTATATAGATTAAGAAAAGAACAGGACCAATTATTGACCCTTGAGGTACGCCACAATCTAAAGGGCTCGCGCTAGATAGATGATTGTTTACGTTACACCTTTGCATACGGTTAGTTAGGTAAGATTTAAACCATTTCAGGGCGTCTTGGTCAACGCCATACTTAGTAAGTTTTTTTAGAATTATTTCGTAGTGAATAGTGTCAAAGGCCTTCTTCAAATCAATTGCCTGATAGTCGCTCGTTTTTATATCTACAGCGCAGTCAAAGAAAGCGAACCATATAGTTTCTTACCCTTTAAAGCTTTTCTGAAATACAAATTATCTATAGAGCCTTCAAGTGTCCGTGAATCCTTGAGCCTCTAGCCGCAAACAAGCTTGACTTGTTTAGTCATTTCTGTTATTTGGTTTTTTTTTTTATTTATCTATTTAACGATTCTTTTTTGTAATTAATAATTGCAACATCCTGTATACCAGTTGTATCTTGTCTGTTCCTTCTATTTTAGTTTTGTAATATCATTCTTTGTTTGTTAATATTCAATTGTATATTGTATTTTACTTATCAATAAGCTTCAATATTAAAAAAAGAAAAAAGAAAAAATATATACCATCCAACAAGTGAAAAACGAATCATTTGTTTTATGTAAAAAAAAAAAAAATAGACAGACACGTTTATGCATCATTTGGTCTTTACTTCAAAGGGTAGAACGTCTAGAACCACATGATATGCACTAAAGTGTACGTGATTGTACGAATTTCCAAACTTAGGATATAGAGTTATTTAATTAACTTGATAATAGTAATACACTTACCGGGATAAGTCGGATATCAAAATTTTCATGCTTGCATAAAAACAGTTCTTTGTACGGTTTTTAAGATATTTATGGCTTCAAGAAGGAGCCTTCCTTTTGTCAAAGGAACTTACAAAATTCAAGTATTTTTATGACATTGGTATTATTTTTGTCAAAATTGCAATAAATGTAGCTTAGCTTTACGGCAAAACACCCTTGCGGAGCTCAAGTTTAACGTCGACACCTTCATAGGTTTATTGTGTAAAGCTTGCTAGGGAACATGGTTTACATTGCATTTTTGAAAACAGTATTTACATTTCAAACAGTATTTTGATATTCAGTTCTCGTCGCTAGAGAGCTAATAAGAAGCTTATGATCATCGTGTATATTTACTTTCCAACGAAATGTTAAAGCGGTCAAAACGATGTTTGTTCTTTTCAAAGAAAGAATCCGTGTCCTTTTTGTAAGCCAGAAAAGTAAGCAAATACAAGAGTAAATTACGAGATCAGTTAAAATTGCTAAAGTTTGCCTGCATTTACATAATTATATAGATTCAACGAGGATTGCCGGCGCAGTCATGCAATAAATTCAGTCGTTTCCAAGCCTCTCCTTCCTCGTCCCCTTCTGCTGTCGCCAATAACAGGGTAATCTGACTTCAAACTCACTTAAGGGAAATTGTGAATAGCTAGCTTTTTCAATTGTCAATTATTTTTCCTTCACCTCCAAATTGTATTTTCATCTTTTCAAGCCTGACAATACATATTAATCTTTCTTTTTTGCACTTCAGTTTCAATTATTTGTTCATTTGGTTGTGCACCGTTCTCGATGTAAGCCTCTTCTCCTCAACAGTGACCAGTTTTGTTGATGTTGTTGTGCAATTTGGATATCACGTGATGTCAATTTATTAAAGATAGCCTTTCTTCTATCAAATGAGTTCATATCAACGAAAATCGAGAACAGTGAAAGGCAAATGACGAAGTGTTGTAATAATGAACTAGTAAGCGGTCTAGAAACATACCCAAACGAAGGGACTACCAACAATTTCTTCCTCCTTTTGAAAGTGAAATTATTCCGAAAGACGACAGATGAACTTACCTGGTAATTATGATTAAAAGAAAAACTGAAATGTATCGAAAATGAATGGTTAAACTTACCGATAGAAAAAGAATAATTATTTTCATGGTATCTTCTTTTGCTTTAGTTTTGCTTGCAACGTTTGTCCGGTTGTTTCCTTGATCTAATAGATTTTCCGTTGCACTTCTAATATATAACCTGCGTTAGCCAATAAAATGACAGCTTAAGGTAATAAGATTCAATATATCATTTTGCCTCTTGTAAATATAAGGTTTGTAATGGTTACTTCCTAGGATCAATAAAGAAAAACAACAAATTACACTTACACATTTCTAACATTATTTGAGTTGCCTCCAATGCATATCAAATTCTACATCTGTCTTAGCTAAGAAAAGACCAAACTGCGGGCTATTTGGTATGTTCTCTCGCAGAGAAACTTCACTCCACTTACAATATTGTGGGTTTTGGTTTAAACTATATTAGATGCATACTTTTTACATCAAAGTGGGGGCGACGCTAAACAAGTGAGGATAAACTAGGTAAAAATGGTATTGATATACAGGTGGTATCTCAGTCTTATCACCTTCAATCCGTTACCTAAATTACCGTCCATATATCCGTTTAGTAGAAGTCGCTCTTTCTAAATTGATTATTAAAAATGAGATGTTCGATTATTTTTAATCGTTTTGTTGTACGTATTCTAAATCATCTGTTTTAACTTCACATAAATAACCTTCTTAACCTCCTGTCAATCGTGAATATGTTCTTTTTTCATAAGTTTTAGTAATATAATATATGTAATGGCTTCAAAATGGCTTCGCAATAGTGAACTGGTGTATCAATAACAAAATAAATACAGAACTTGCTTTTAAGTGATTAATAAACATTAACGTTATTAAGGCGGTGCACAACAAAACACTGGGATGGGATGAAACAAGCAAACTGATAGAATATAAAATGAAATATTATCTTGGAAAGTAAAAATCACACACCCTCTTGAATACCGTAACAGATAGATGGGGAGTTATAGTTTGCACAGAAAACAATGCATACCAGAAAATTCAGTAACAGAGGCCGCCTAGGCAATATTTAGCGGAATTATTAGCGTGAATGGTAAGAGGCCAAGACCTGTATTTAAATGTTGCCCTTATGCAGTTAAATGGGAATTCCCATCGTGCTAACCTTGGGGACTTCCATAGTTCAGTGAAGGTGAACATAAAGGTGATCATTTGGCGACAACAATCTGTAATTAGCTGATAAAAGCTGGCGAATTCCTTAGTACCAAACTCTACCTTGTCTGAATTTTTAATTCCCGATACGATGTAACAACGCATGGTTTGGAATACTCAGGAAGTATTGCGAATTCCTTATTTGTTTTGCTTCAAAACATCGTTTTTAAATCAGTATAAAAAACACTTTCCTCCTCCTCTAAAGAGAACCAACATCACAGTTAGGTACTGTCACCGATACTTGTTTTTACCATTGCACTTTAATAAGCAAATTAATAGTAGTTGTTTACTTGCTTCATTCGCTAAATGAAAACTTATACGCACTTGCAAAAGGAAAGGCTTTTCCAAACTGCATAAGCCGTCTTCAACTGCGATGACGAATCTTATTACCATTTTATGCAAAAGAAAAGGGTATTAATTAAACAGCTTCTCTCACCCAAAACAACTAAAGGATTTTGAGTATATATACTGTGAACAACGGTTCGTGCATTTTTGGGCATATTGAGAGCATTTTTTTAGATTGACTGGCAACCTTTTCGAGCAGCATAAGAATTCCTCACTATCGGGTGACGAAGAAGCCAATAAAATTAACGACATTTTGTTTATTTGTGAAGACTTCTTCCAACGTAGGGAAGTTGTCCGATCAATCATATGAAAAATATTATAGCCCATCTTGTCTCTCTGTTATGAAAGTAGTAAAAATGTCTGGAATCTAGACTCAGCTGAAAAAACTTTTCTAAATTATTAAAATGAATGTTAGCCATTCGCAAAACTGGGTGAATGGGTTCAGTTGAAAAATTCTTAACAGCCCTGCTAACATGGATATATTCTGACTCGGTCCACAATATTTATCGCACCCTTTTAACAATTCGTATAATGTTTACTTTATACATTTATAACAGTTTAATGCAAAAAAATGCAAACACAAAGCCGTTTGTTTAACTATTTTGCAGCGCTAAGCATTAGCGTGAAAATTAGTAGCTTTTCGCGGCAGTCATCGGACAGCTCGGTATTTAAATCACTTAAAAAAGGAATCTTATGATTCATTCAGTATACCCTTATTATAAAAACTAATTACATAAAGTGTGATGTTAATCTACAATATTCTTTCATTAAGCAGTTTATTCATTTCCGTTGTAGTCGGAATCTGAAAACTGTCCCATGATTGCAACTACTGCCGGTCGCAAACTTTATCAGAGGCCTGGTGTGATTTTAACCTATTAAGTCGGTGTACATTTGTCTTGCTACCTATAAAAGCAATTTTTACTGAGTTGACTGAGCCCATTAATCTACTGGTCTGCCTTTTGCATTGGTTTTCTTGTTCAGCGTTTCTTAGTAAAGCGGTTTGTTTTGTTTTGCCTACAGAAAGTCACTCCTGCTGTATTGGTGACTTGGCAAATTATGAAGAATATCTGTCTTAAACCGGCCTCAAACGCATGATAGCATCGTTAACTGGTAGTTTTTTGACAGTCAATCCTCCTGCTAACCACAAATTAAGAGTTTGAGTAGCATTTCATCGCTTGATGTGCAACTATATTGAAGATACTTTTGAATCATAACTACGCTGTTGTAACGTTAACATCGTTATCAATATTTGTTAATATATGATTGATAGTTCGATTTTTTTTGTCCTCTTTCTACTCCGTAGGCGATATCTTAAACCTATCATTAAATCAGAAAAATAAAAGGCACCTATAGAAATGCTTAAGTCATTCTCAACAGAAGATTGATTAGCCTAAGTAAACGTAAGCAGTGTGGTTTTCACGAACAATAGTCTATAGGTTAAAGGGACAATTTATAACATCAACATTTAAAATGTTGTGTTGCCAAAAGGCAACTAGTATACAGCTGAACTGAATAGAAATATATAATTTATAGAGAAAAACTGTAGAATTATAGAAAATACTCAGTAGTTCAGTTAGTTTTAGTGAGGATGGTTGCCAGTCCACAAAAGGGTGGAACTGTTTTTTTTTTTTAGTAAGTTTGCCTGAAAGGTTTAATTTATTTTTTTTCTTGTTTCTCTCTTTATTCAGGCTTTTCATCCCTTTTTTCGTATTTACGTTTAAGAAAATAAGCTGTAATATTTAAGCACATCTTATTACTCACTACTGAAGACATAAATCAGTAAATAAATTGTATCAACCGAGCCAACTTAAGGTTCGGTTTAATTGCTGATAGAGCGAGCCGTAGGATCTTCCATATCAAGAGTAACAGACGGAGGCCTTGTAGATAAACCATTCAACAAAAAGTAAATTACCATCAATGTATATTCCATAAATCAAGAATATAAGAATATTGATAAGTATTTGTGTTATTCCAGAACAATTATAACCTGTATTGGAAAGAAAACGTTAAGACTGAAACTAAATACATGTTGCAGAATAAGCCACATGCGCTGTCATTTTTATAGCCCACTTGGTATGAGTTCAAACTAAGCGATATTGTGACTTAAATTGGTATTTGGATCACTTATTAAGTATCTCTAAGCTCCCCTTTGCGATATCATTAACATCATTAGAACAAATAACTTAACAAGATTTTTGATTTTTTTTTATCAACTTAGCTTTGGTACAACAAACTAGATCACCACTCAATACTTACATAACCAAAGGAGCAACCTAAAGAGAGTGGTTTAGATTACGAGATAAGATTGATATTCTGCCAGCATCTTGGAATGTATGACTGTAAGTTTGGCAGGCACAATTTTCAGCGTCTTAGAGTATTGAAAGCTAGGACTATGATTTATCGTCGATCTGAAACATTTTCGTGGTTCAAAAATCCGAGCACTTTGTATCCTTAGTGTTTATAGTGGACTATATCAACTCAAACCAAGTCAGTTGCGGGAAATCAACAACGCACTCAACTCAAAAATGACTGACAAGGCGAATATTGAATTTATATTTTACAATATCTTTGCACGATATCATCTCGATATCATCTCGATATCATCTCGGCAATTTAGTCGAGAAGCAGTCTTATTGGCTAACGGAGGCTATATATAAGCATTCAGAAATGAAGTATTAAAAATAGTAGATTTTGGGGGGAAGAATCACCTGCAAGTCACCGCTGCGTGAACTCAAACCAAGATGAAGACAGTTTTATTGACTTTAATGGTAAAGCTACTAATTAATCGCAATAGTGAATATTAGTATGACTTGAAACAGCTTTTAACCATTGAAAATTTTTAAGAAACTTGATTTATACTCCAAATGTCCCACTGATCGGAGTTTGTGATCTCGAATAACTGGTTGTGGTGTTATCGATGCCAGCAACTCGGAATATGAGGAGGCGAATTAGCGTTTACGGCTGTTATGCATTTACTTTGTTTTAGGGAAAATGCATATCTTATGTAAAGTAATTTATTGATTTAATTTTATAACAACTGATTGCAGCAATTGAAGGTTCTAAGAGCAGATAGATGAGAGAGAAAAGGCCGTCAAAATTAATGCCAATGTTCTGAAGGCATGCTAAGAATACTCAGGACGGCAAGGCAAAATGCCATCGAAAAGCTCTTCCCGCTTCCTGATAGCCCTGAATCGGTTTTCAGTCATTTTCAAAGTCGCGAAAGAAGTAAACGAAAAAGGGAAAACCGATGTATTATGTCTTTTATGACTATACATTCTTTACGAGAATGTAGGAAGATGCACGCACATTATACTGAAAAATTTCAAGATCAACACAAGAACACTAAGTAGCAAGAATGTATTTTCAAGTCACTCAGTTGGACAATGATTATAACAATGATGATCAATGAAATATCAATCTGTTCATCCCAGAGAGATTAACGTATGTGACGCCATGGACAGACCTCTTGAATGAAGGGTTGGAGATATACTGTGTAATCGCCAATATTTCACAAATGCGACGATTTCAAAGTGTTTCAAGTTACCTATATAAAAGTGTTTTTCAAGGTGTATAGAATCATAACATATTTATTTGTTGTTTACCAGACTAGGAGACGTCACAGTTTTTTCTATTATCACGGTTATGGCATTTCTTTAAACTTCATGCAAGATTGATATTTTTCATCAAGGAAACATAAATAGAAAGTATTGCGAAGTCTTTAAGGGTTCAGTGTTGTTAACTTTCGTTTCGACAGAGAAAAGTTAACTAACTAAAGCAGTAAATTTGGTAATGACAGATTAAAAGTAAAACCATGTTAAAAGGTTGTAATAATAGTTTGTACTACAACTGAGTTTGTAAAGTAATCACACATTGCTGCTTTGGCCGCTTTACGTTACTGAGTGGTAGCAATAAGAAATCACGCTTAACTTTTTCTGGACAAATTGCAGAAAAAACTCAATCTTCTAACTGGGTTTATCTATATTTAAAGTATTTCAACCACAAGTGACATTTCAAAATTGTTATACGTAAGTTCACGAGCCGTTAGGCGAGTGAAATTTGAGACAATTATCATACACGAGTGGTATTTATACCAAATATCACGTACAAATCATGCTATTATTTGTTTATACTACTACCCACAAAACTAAGCCAATCAAATTGCATAAATTTTTCATGTAGTAGTACAAACTTCAAAAACCAAATCGAATTTTAAAAATTCCTTGTTTGTGCTACCAATGCCAAATTCAAAATGCGGCTTTCTATTTTTTTTTCACTTTGAATCCCTGATAAAACGAATAAATAAAAAGTCTCCTTTTAAATCCACAGCTTCGTAGTGTCCGAACACTTTCTCACACAATGTAATAATGAAATGTAATGTCTGTTTTCGGCAGCTGGTGATGGCATACCTTGTGTCTGTCCAGACTCGTGCAGTCTATCCAGATATGTTCAGTCTACAGCCTCAGGAGCAAGGTAAAAACGTATCATTACACTTTGTGAAAGGGTTGAGAAGAAATATAAATGCAGAAAACTAGGTTGAAGATTTAACTGTATTTACCGGATATATTCTCTGGTATACACCGAATGTAGATATGGCGGATCTCTCGGTCGGCCCGGGTCTACTTGCGCGAAAGCGAGGCTAGTCAGGCCTGAAGAGTTTTGTTTTAACTGCGCGTCTTAGCGATTGAGTCGATCCATATGGTTTCCTTCGAGCTGTTACTTGCTTTGGCTCTTAAAAGAGCCATCAAAGAGGAGATTTAATCCAGAAGAAACGAAAGTTGATTATCTTCCCTTTGCCAAGGCTCTTTACGAAGAAAGAAATGGTTTCAAGCGATTCGGCGTGGCGAATGGAGGCAATTTACTATCACGGAGTTAAAAGAACGAAAGTGTGCTCGCTTTACTTCAGAAGAGAAGATTCACGAAACAATTAGAGTGGGCGAATAACTGAGAGACGGTTCTGTTTCAAGTTTGCTTTGTCCGTTCTCTTAATACCAAGTCAAGGTAAAAATCCTCGAAAACGAGTGAATCCGCCGTTGCGACTTACCAATCTTTAGGAGCTCTCAGGGACACTTCACAACGAGGCCGAATGTTTTCACAGTCCTCACGATCCTGTGTTCAAGAGTTTGAGCAGTGCCACAAAAGAAGCAATTTTTGGAAAATCGCTGTTAGTTTATCTCGAAACCATTCGACAAGTTGCTAAAATAGATCACGCGCAAGTTCAAATACAATGCTCGAATACTTGCACGATCTTTCCTGCCAGAACCTTTCAGTTTCCTTCTTCTTACTATCTTAGTTCGCAACGGTTCCTCTGTTAGTTTTTTCAGAGCACTTTGATCAAGGGCTGTTCTTGAAATATGTCGCTTTCTTCTGGTTCTTGCATAGTTTCAAAGGCCACGCTTGTAGGATTAACACTGGGTGATTATTATTGTTGTGTTTCATTCACACTCGTCACTATTGTTATATTTTAATGCAGCTGTTTTCAGCGTGAAAAATAAAAGATCCTAAAGTCCACAGCGGATGCTCCCGTTCTCGAGAATGTTTACCTTTTGTTGAATAAATAACAGACCATGCAAACATCTTGGAGCAGCACCATCTCTTGCGAAAATTCTTTCATTCAAATACTTTCTTGAGTCCTCTCTTCTAAAGCAAGGGAAGCGAGCACACTTTCGCTGTAAAGTGCTTTCCATCGCCGCGCCGAATCGCATGAGCTCCGTTATTCCAGCTAGAGTAAAATCTTTTTGGTGGCACTCAGGCACGCAACAACTCGAAGCAAAACATATCGATAGACTCAATCGCTTAGACGCGCAGTCAAAATAAAACTCTTGAGGCCTTACTAGCCTCGCTTTCGCCCAACTAGACCCGGGCCGGCCGAGAGGTCCGCCATATTTACATTCCGTGTACAATTCTATCCGCAGTTTAAATTCTATTTTTCATTGTTTTTTAGTCATAACGTGAGCAAAAAGACCATAGGACAAAATTGAACCATAATGTTTGTGTACGTAATAAACGTTTTACGTTGGTGAATATAACCCTATTAAGTGCAATTTTGCAGTTAAAGCCACTTTATACACTGTTGATTCAGGATTTACCAAATGGTTTTCTATTCTTCAATCAATTTTTCCTTAGTTTACCATATTTTTAACTGAATGTTAGGTAGGTTCTAAACCGCATCATTATTTTCTTTTCTAGCTCCAGCCTCTCCATTGCAATGTATTCTTTGTGAGGGACAAACATCTGCAAACTGCACCGCAGGCCAGGCAAAAGACAACTGCACATCAGGTCTGGTTTGCTACACATTTCAAGCGTTTGACGCAGCTCTAAACCAGTTTATGTATGCAAAAGGATGTTTTCCTGAATTCCTTTGTGGTGGAAACCAAGGTTGTAATTTCGTGAATACCTCTAGGAACGGAGCTCTCCAGTCGTGTTCCATAAGCTGTTGTAACACGCCTTTATGTAATGCCGCCCCTGTACCTGCTGGTACCGTAACCACTAATCCGCCACCAGCAACAACCCAGCCTCCAACCACAACTATGGCACCAACAACAACTATGGCACCTACTACAACCCCTCCGCCAACTACAACTGTCCCTACAACAGCGGCTCCCATGACCACTGTTCCTCCACCTCTCCCACCAGGTAACAATATCTTCAAATACCCGAGAATGCAGATGTCTACATTGTATGAAACAAGACCCCCATAGTGGGGGTTCATTGGGCTGCCGACTGCCTGATGGAGTGGTTTTATAGTTTGAGAAGTATAGATGATAATTACGCTTTTTTCTGGCATAAGGGTACAGCCGACTCCAACCGGTGGAATGGGTTAGAGATTAGATACTTACAAATAGCCTTCTGAAACAAGAAACTATTGGCATTATTTTTAACTGGGACATTTCCAAAACGCACCACCCCCCATTCCCCACCTCCAATCTTTCTGCCCGCATCCCCCACCCCCCTTGCCAAAAAAAAATTAGATAGTATAACGTGGCAAATTTCATCTACCAGAAATTCCAAAAAATTATTGTCGTTCAAAGCTTTTAAAAGGTGACCGGGTCAATTTGGGCGTTTTAAATACTATTAAATGACCGTAAATTCCTGTTTCTTAAAACTCGCAAAGCAAATTAAGGTTCAGTTTTATTTCTGTCGGATTTTGCATTAGTAAAGCGCTTCTAACTGTCCATGGCAAGTGAATATGTTTCTATTTGACGGGACGATCTACAAATAGCATATTCCTTTATTGCAAAAAGCAAATTAATTAGCAAACTAATTTCACGCAGGGAGAGAATTGTAACAAGTTAAAGCTTTTCCAGTTTGCTGGACTTTGGTAGGGCATTGCTTCTGCAGCTCCCACACAGGCTAATAACATCATCGAATACTGCATTTAGGTAATTATTCGGCGCAGATATAAGGCCAATAACTCAACGAAATAATTTTGTGTTCGATCCAAATCGACTCCCAAATCTGTGCGCCAGACGACCTGAAATGGTCGTCCCCTCCCCACAGAAATCGGCCCCATTGGAGGGGAAGTGGGTAACGCAACGCCTTCTCGGTGGGCAATCCGCCATTTTGTCTTTTTTTGACGGAGAAAGCCCAGTCCATAATTGAGCGCCAAAGGCAACTGACATTGCGCTTAATGATCGTTCTCCATATTTTGGTCATTGGTCAGTTGACATTGCAGGCAGCTTAATACAAACAAGGTTATGTGAGGGATTCGGCACGGGAAGCTCATTCACCTTCACTGCATGTAAGATTAAATGTCCTTTTCTCTAATTCCCAGGGATATGTGGTGGTCCATTGACTCCTCCATCCGGGTTCTTTGCATCTCCGTATTACCCCCTGAACTATCCCAACAACGCGTACTGTTTATGGACACTTGCTCTTCCACCAGGATCGATTCTCACGATCGATTTCCTTTTTTTTGAAACTGAACACTGGTAAGTGAATAATGTGTGTAAATGTATGCTGAGTGAATGAGCTATATGTTAACATAGGATCTAAAAACTGCACCGGCTTCCTGTTCAACACAGGATAATATTTAAAGTTCAAATCATCAATATATGCGCTCCGGAATATCTGAGTGCCACACGGCTTTCTTGTTGTCCCCAAATCCTTCACTTCTACCTACGGAGACCGAGCATTTTCAGTAGCCGTACCTAAATTATGGAAGTATTAGATTTATTTAAAAGAAGGGTCCAGACCTACCTCTTTCAGGACGCATTTTTATAGCTTGTTTGACTGAAGGAAAAGGTTTCTTTCGTTTTCCATCATCAATTATATATTTATTGATGTACTGAACCTTTTTCTTGTATTTTTTTAAAATCTATTGATTGTAATCTTAGGCCATGATAACTATTTAATTTTTGCAAACGAATTGAAGCAATTTATAATGCTTCTCAAGTACTCTAATTTATTATTATTATTATATCTTTTATATCAAGAGAAACGTCGTATGATACTCAGGTTCTCATAAGCAAATAAAAGGCAAATGGAACGACGTTTTGGTGTCGTCATGGCTCCATTTTCAAGTGCAAAATGTTCACAATAAAAGATTAACTTGTAATAATTTGTAGTGTTACGCAAATAGTATAGTTTAACTGAAATCGAGACCGATTGGACACAAAGAAAAGAACTAAAATTTAACGGCGACATAGTTCAAAAAGCGGAATGGTCATGAAGCCTTTCAGATCTCTTTGTTCGAGTAGCATTACTTTTCCCTTTTTGAATTTACTGACCAACAGAAAAGTCGCATTAATTTATTCGGTCACAATTTGTGAGCAATTATGCAAGGTTAGGGAGCTTCCAACAATACCATTATTTTGTTTTCATCTTTGGTTGGCTTTCATAAAAAGTCTCCTCTACTCCCTATGATGCATTCTAAATGTTGTGGTGTCAAGAACAATAGTTATTTTAGTTACCATGAACCCAATCAGTTTTATTATAACTCATAACTCATTGCTACAATCAACTGATTTTTGTAAAAATGTAGTATGATGATGGTTTATAACCGAATTCATGCAACGCTTTCGTCCAATTGATAACCAACATCCGGTTTTTGGCGCACTTGCGGAAAGCAGTGTTCTCTTTAATAGACCAGTTTTTAACTCAAACCTCGGGTAAGACAATAATAAGGTAAGGTTACTTAACGTAGAAATAAATCCTTGCTGATAAGGTTACTTGAAAAGTGACCAGAAAGAATTTTTTTTTTTCTGCAGCTATGATTACGTGGAAATTTACTTAGGCGTGCGGCTTGTTCGTCGATTATCTGGAGATGACGACGACGACGACGACGATGATGATGATGACAAGAAAAAGCATCACTATGGAGACGACGACAAATGTGACGATGACGATGATTTTGACGATCTTGATGATCTCGACGATATCGACGAAGAGGAAGACGAACGAAAAATTATAACCATACGAGGGACAGGCGAGATGATAAAAATAGTTTTCCGATCCGATTACAGTGTTACAAGGAGAGGATTCTTCGCCAGATACAATGTGGCTGCACCCGGTATTTTTTCATTTGTTGTTGTTGTTTTTGTTAAAAGGAGAAAATGATAATTCTACGAAATTATTATCCTAATTAAAACATAAAATTCTTTTCACAACTCATTTATTCATTGTAACAAAAGTTAGTTAATGAAATTATTTCTCCATCTCGAAGAATAATTTGAGTTTTAGTTTTCCCCTTTGTCCACCAAAATAAATAAAACCTCACAGAGATTCAATTTTACCAAGTTCTCTTGTTCCTTTAAGAGCCCTATTCTAAAATTACACGGATTTCCAGAATTTTCTTCAACGCTAGAAATTATATCATTGTTTCCCTGTTGCCCGAAAGAATAAAAAATTGCCCTTTTCCCGAAAAGCTACTTTATATGATAATTATCATCAGTTATCCAGGAAGGACAAACAATCCAATACCTTCCTCGAGGTTTTTGTCACGGCTCGTCCAATTGGAGTGGCTATTGAAATAATAATTTGAATCACTAAATTACATTAAATATATACTTCTTTTTTAATTTCGTTGAAACAGTTCTATGTGGAGGACCACTGGTGGCACCATCAGGGAGTTTTACATCTCCTAATTTCCCTAGCAACTATCCAAACAATGCCGACTGTAGGTGGACAATCACGGTGCCACTAGGATCAACTCTAATGTTGGAATTCAGAACGTTTGAAACACAGCGATGGTGAGTTGATAAACTGAATAGATAGGAAAAAATCAGTTCGTTATTTTCTTACCATTAATATCATTAGGAGTCGAACTGATAGTCACACTGGTAATCACTATACCTTACTCATTTTTGTCAGTAAAAGTTAAAGATACATATGTTATATTTGAACAATTTTTTTTCAATGACTTGGATTTGCTTAGATTTATTTTTCAACTCAAAAGGGACCTCAGTGGCTCATTCTTATCCATTTGATCAGGAATATTCAAATGGTTAAACAAGTAGTTGCCCTACATTTTTCATATATTCGCGAATCTGCAATTGTATGAGATTGGCTCCTACCGAAATCTGGTTATCAAGCTATATATAGTCACTGTCATCTATTCTATCTTCTTTTCTCCTGCAGCCGTGATTACGTAAAAATTCTTCAAGGATGGCGCGCGGTACGTCGTTTGAGTGGCGAGTACGACCACGAGGATGGCGATGATGATGACGATGACTGCGATGATGATGATGATGATGATGATGATGACGATGATGATTGCGATGACAATGATAACAAATGGGGAGGAATATTTTTAAAAATGATGGAAGGAAAATTTGGTCCTCCGTGTGTTAAGAAATTCTACATCAGAGGAACAGGCGAGATGGTAACGATCATTTTTACATCTGATCAACGAGTCACCAGACGAGGCTTCGACGTGGTGTACCGCATCGTATAAAGAGGGCTATCATGTATTTAGGCAATGACGTTTAAAAATGGCTTTAGATCTCTTACCCGCATAGCATGTGAAAGACGGGTTTTTTGCAACCAGCTACTGAACACTTAACAAGGATATGGTTCAAAAGACGACTACTAAAATTTCTTCTTTCTTGAGCGAGTATCGCACGATTTGTTTCAAAATGAATCAACATTGCACAGGATAATGCAGCTTTCACTAATCGAGTAAGCCTTTATCCGCCTATTCGGTAACAGTATTTGAATGTATATAGTTTATAACCCTTTGTGCACAATATTGATGCTGATTTTGAAATGCGGCAAATAAAAAATATTCAAACTTCGTGAGCGCTGATCGGTAGATTGGACCGTCCTTTCAAGGACAGTTTAAAAAACCTTAAGGAGCACTTTTAACGTTACATTAAGTTGTAATTTTATTACTTTGCCTTTAAAAATTTTGACTTGATTTCGTTGACTTTTACATACAAAATATGTCTTTATTTTTTGCTGCTGAATTCCGTAATTGGTTCATTTAGAACTGAATAAACGAATTTGAAATGCGGGGCACCCAGTGTGAATATTTAAAAGCATTTAGAGATTTGTAGTTCATGATTTAAAGGCAAATAAACTGACGAAGTCACTGGCTGTTTCTCAGTTCATTCGGCACTAGGGCGGGCGTTTATTCACCAGTAAAGCACGAAAGAGAAGTCGGCTCTAACTGCACTAAATACTGACCTTCCTTTCAGGTCATGTTTTCCTCGAGTCTAACATCACGCTCATCCTAATGAAAATAAATATATAGAGGATATTACACGGCAGCTTGAAGATATGAATTCTATTTTCTCGTGGCAAAAACAATATTTTACTCACTCTTCAAGCCGCCGTGTAATGTTCTTTTTATTACATGGACAAAAAGACATCGATAAAATAATAGATTTTAATCCACCAAAAGTAATTGTGACGGCTCAGATTTACAGTGCAGCAATACATTTTGTATAAGACATTAGTTACAATAATCTTGAGAAATAACACTGAGCTGAATAGGGCACTACAATGACAAAATATAAGCAAAACTTTGAAAAATGTTTAAGTAAAATTCAAAAGACGCAAGACGCTTAAAAATTTCAAAGGAAAATTACCGAAATTACGTTATCGATAAACTCACGTGTGAGATTAGGGAAAATAAATCACTCGGGTCCTGGATGTAGTTTTTATGAATTTTACGAGTGGTATATATACACCTTATTCGATGGTTTAGCATATAATACGTGCGGATATTTTGCGAGTTGCGTAGTATTTTTCCAAAACATCCTGATTCTGTCAGCCACAGTTGCTCCTTCTGCATCCGCCGTTATTCGCCCTGTTGTAAACCGGTTAAACCAGGACACTACGGTGTATTACGGCCTCGTATTTTGCTTGTTCTCTTGACCTTATATGGTAAAATGACATAATAGTGGAATAATAATTTCCAGTAAAACACTCGTGTCTATATAATAAATTTGCATCATCGCAGAATTGTACCTATTTATTCTGCGTAAAAAACTTTACTTTACGGCATACTGACTGAAACTAAATTAGGCAAATAAAATGATCTAAATAATGAATATAAATTATAATGTACAGATAATTTGTTTAAAAAAAGACGCATAAACATAAGATCTTTATTCTGACTGAACTTTTGATTATAGCGGGGCTCCCGCGCGCGCGAAGCGCGCGTGGGACGGAGCCCCATACTCATGGAATATGGTCAACCTCTTTTCGCTTGGTTGTCACGTGACTGACCCAGCGTACGTACGTACGTACGCGTCTACAGATTGTACGGGTACGGGTAGGGGAGAATATCAAAAGGAAGGGAGGGGTGTCTCAAGGGTGTCTTGGCAAGTCCTCATCTTTTATATATGACACTCACAATATGGTCAATTGACAGCTGTCAAAACAGGACGAGGTGACGTGATTTATTTGGAAGCTGTCCGCTGACCAGTTAATCGTTTTACTAGATCGCGAACAATGTTCAATCATACTTTTTAGCTAGTTTGGGATTGGAGCACAGGAAAACTGATACACATATTGGACATCAATGTTGTGATCAATTGACAGCTGTCAAAACAAGGTATCCGCTGACCAGTATCACTTGAGCGAATCGCGGGCTCAGGTGTCGACTCATCGAGGTCAAGTATTTTTTGAAGTTATCCGCTGACAAGGTACTGGTTTTCAAATGGTCGCAGGCTCAACTTTAATTTTTTTTAAAAAAAATTCATATGAAATATGTTGTGTTTACGTGCCGCTCAATTAAAATTTTGATTTCAAACTGACATCGGACGCGAAAATTCAGTCAGCCGGCTACAGGCAGGGAAGACAGTTGCTTTTGACTTTTCTCACCATGTTCACGCGTTGGTCACATTCTACGTCCAATTTTTTTGCTCAGATTGGTCAAAATTTGACAGGTGAGTTCATGCGGAAAATTTAGGCAGCATCTTGAATCTTGTTTACTTTGACAGCTGAATTGAAGCTGACAGAGTTTTGTGTCAACTTGTGATGTTTTTAACTGTCTTTTTCCACTGGATGTACAAAATGAAATTCAGCTGCTATCGGAAGTCTTCTGTTATTCATGGCTAGTTTGTTTATTGGGTTTTTGGTTGAGATACGTCACTTGTCAAATTTTTTCAAGTTCTTGCACTACAACTAGGCTCTCTAGATTAATTACTGAGTGTCTTAAACTGGTCCACACCGCTTACTGCTAGACGATTCGAGTAAGGACAGGTGTTAACTGTATGTGGATCATCAATAATTCGTTGGACGTTATCCGTGTACTGGAGGAAAAACAGCTTGCCCTAAATTATGTGAGTACTTGGGACTTTTTGACTCTTTATACTAGCCTTCCACACGCCCAAATTAAAAAGCAACTCCATGATCTTTTGGAAAGAGTTTTTAATACTAAAGGAAAGAGCTTCATTGCTACCAATAACTTTCCCACCTTCTGGACGAATGATAGAACG